ATTTAGAACTTGTAAAAAACTTTTTAAGAGCATTCATACTAGCTCTTTCAAAGTCCAAAATAATATTCTTCTCTTTTATTACTTCTTCTTTTATTTCTTTACTTAACCATTCAAAAAGCTTATTATAAGAATATTCATTTTTTGTTTTCATAAAACAATACAAAAGAGGCAAATTTTTATTTCTAACATTACACTGTAAGGTAAAAATTTGTTCAAAGTTTTTAGGAGCAGATCTGAAAGTGCCATCACAAATCATTATTTTGCAATTGATGAGATGCAAAATATTTTCATTAGTTGTAAATACAACAATTCTGTTCTCATCCTGTATTCCAGAATCTTAAAACAAAACTTCTTCCCTCTGGTTGTTTTTGTCAATTCGTATGGAATATCATATTCCTTAACAATTGTAAAATTGTTGGTCTTTCTAACCCTTGTGACCAAACTATTCATCATCTTATAATCTATAATGTTTGAGTAGTTAAATTCAGATATTACATTAGAGATTGCAACTCTTGATGTTTCAGAGGTGTCTAGGATTCTCTGTTTAACTTACTAGCAACGAGTACCTCGCTAAACTTAATATCATCACTGCAATGATTATGCTCTGAAAATTCCAGTAAAAGACAGTCTATTGTAGTTTTTAATAATAAAGGACATCCTTCCTTATTGCATCTCCAGACAAATTTACCAACAGAATGTTCCTTAAGTTGTAAAAAAAGCTTTCATATGCAATTTTTTCTTTTCCTCTAATGCTTTTGATGACATTATTTGATAAATTTTTCATAATAAGGGCAAAAAATTTAAAAGTACAAAAAGAGAACGATCTTTTTTAAAATTTTTAAATATAGGGGTAAAAAATTAATAGGTGAAAATTAATCCATTTTTCACCTGCAGTGAAAAAATGAGCCCAACGTATAAATATCGGTGGGCTCTCCAAATATCAGAAATTATTCTTGATCCGCTTCAAATCTTTTGTAATATGATTCTTATTGGAGTATTCCTGCTTTTATTAGGAACGGGTACAAAAAAACCCTTTCTTGAATTTCGTTTAATGCCGCCGAATACCCAAGTAGGATTGCCAATGCGGCCCTTGTTATTTTTTCTCTTATAAAACAAAGACTTGTCATTTCTACGTCTATTGTACCACCATTTTCATCGATATCTCCAATGGTACCATTGAAATCTACACAATGAATCGCCATAAATCACAAAACAATTCGCACCACTCCGATGTAGTATCTGTCCCCATCTTTGTTTCAGTAACAATATAGCTTTGGAATGCCCCTTAGCCTAATAAATACATCAGAAGAAAAACCGTTTTAAAGGACAAAATTAAACTTTTAAAGTAGAATTCCCAACAAACAAAGAATAAATTTTCTGCAAATACTGCCTTTAAGTGCCCATCGGGGAAAAAGGAAGCAACAACTCCCCGTATTCGGGGGTGTTTAGTTAAAAATTTTTAACCCCCGAAATGGATGTCAATTTTAAGGAGAAAAAATTAGAGATCTTAAAAGATAAAGTTATTTTTGTTTAAAGATGCAAATAAAATCTGCTTTTTTTATTTTTTATTTCAAAATAATTTTTAATAATAATTCGAATGTTAAAATACTTTTGTTTTGTAAACGTAAATAATCGTAAAAATGGTTAAATATTTGTTGATATCCTATATTTATTAGGAATATTCAATTTTACATTCGCCCACGCACCTTATATGGTATTAGTATGTACCAACGCATCATGATTCACAAAATATACACCATGATTTATTGTAATGCACGTATCCGTTTCTTGAAGGGCCGCTATAGCCTTTCCAGCAGTCTGTATATACAATACTCCCCTCTTTGACAAACTTTTTAATGTAAAACAACAATGTGTCCACCTTCTATCAGGCAATTTAATTAATGCAAGCTACCGAGCAGGTATTCTCTCGAACATTACTAACACCCATGCACCATTAACTCTATGTCCTCTATAGTACATTCGTTTACCGAATTTAGACTCATCTATTTCGACGATGATACCTGGTCCGCCTATAGAAACATTTTTGGGTAATAATTTACCTGTTGGTTTCAAAATTTTCCGTATCGTCTGTCTACTAACATCAGTCAAAAGTGAAATTAATTTAATTTTAGAATTGTTTAAATATAAAAATAAAATTGTTTTCCAACCGATATTTGAATTAAAAAAAGCTTTTTTTTTTCTTAATAAAAGTAAATTCTTTTTGACGGCCAGTCTTTGTACATCTCAAAATATTCATCTCTCCTTCTTGTTTTACTTTTCCTAAACAAAATTTATAAAAATACTCATTTCATTGACTAATTTTAAAAGTAAATTTTTGACAATTTTATAATAAATTTCTATTTTTTTCTCCTCAAAATTGACATCCATTTTTGGGGCTAAAAAAATTTTGAATTAAACACTCTCAAATATGGGGGATTGTTGTTTCCATTAAAACCCATCTGTACCCCGACTTTTTATTTTTGTTTTTTATAAGCCGCATGGGTCGGTCACAACTGCGTACTTGAGTTTTTTAATCAGCTTAAAAGCTGCAAGTTCCAAAAACAACCAGATTATCCCGATTAAACAGTGCAAATGTTTTTCTATAATTAAGTAAGTTCCATATTTAATACGCCATTATCATTGTAGAAAAAATCAATAATGCTTGTTTGTACAGGCGCCGGATCATGCACGTTACACGTCCTCAGAATTGAACATCAAAAAAAACCAAAACCCCGAAAAGCTTGTATTAAATATTGTAAAAAGATAGAAAAGTGACATATTAAGATTTATTAAACAAAATAAACGCAACAGCAAACTTTTGCTATTATTGTCTTTCCACGCTTGTTCATCTATATAAATACTTAAAGCTGATTGTAGAATTTCTTTCATTTTTTTGATTTTTTGTTTCTGTTTAGCTCAATAAGACTCAAATTGTTGAATATGAGTTCCATTATTAGGATTTACAAAATTAAGAGAGATATTTACAGAAAAATGCACAAAACCATTCATTCATAAATATTTCTGTATGCAGCCCACTAATCACTATGTATAATAATTCCGAACCCACAAATTTGCGAAATTATAGGCAATAATACGTTCGATGATATATTTCCAACCACTTGAATATACCCCTTTGCCGGTTTATAGTTTGTATCAACGATACCAAAAACCCACAATTGCTGATTAGCTATTCTTACACGATAATATTTTTGCTTATGATTAAACAATGGTTTATCGACCTGGCATATATATTTTTATCACCTGGTTGTGGAGAATCTTGCAGTAAATTTTCGTTAACAATTAATCTCAAATCGTGATATATTTTAATAACTGTGTTCCATCGAATCTTATAGTGCTTTTCAATTTTAGTAACACTTTCATCCTCAAGCCAAAGTATTATAATCGTTCATATGTGTGCTAAACATGACCGATATCTAAAAAAAACGTGCCATGTCTAACACTGAGTATTTTTTTTAAATTTATAAAAGTTGTAATTAACGCACTGCCAGACTTTACTATTAATAACATCGTTTTTACTTCTCTCTCTCATGTTATCGCTACAAAAATAACATATCATTTGCAAAGCTAAGACGTTGTGTTCTTGTAATGTTCCGATAACATTTTCGGTGCTCATATATTTGATCTGTAAAAGTTGTTCTATTTCTGAAGCTTAACTAACTAGTCATTAAGGGTAAAAAATTAGAAATTGTAAAATATGCACGTTATACGCCCCCGGGAAGCGTAAAACATGCATGATCCCTGGTGTCCTTGGCATGGGGACTAAAAACGAAATTTTTGAAAAAAGCCCTTTTCTCTGAGAAAACCCCATCATTCTATTAACTTCGTTGATATGCAAACAATAACCTTTACGAATACTTTTGAAGGAAACTGTAGAGTTGTAAAACGGACACTTTTTTTTAGATATAGGACATTAAAGCTAGTTGATATTTGTTTACTGTGATTTCTTTAAAAAAGAAATGAAAAAGAATATAATTAAAGTTGCTAACATAATTTATTATTTTAATTTGTTAATTGTAATTTTTTTAAAAAACACACAATACCCGACTTTTTGTATTTGTGTATGTAAATATAGAAAATGGGGTTAAAATTTAAAAGTTTTAATTATATTGAAAAATACCCAAAATCGACATTTTCTTAACCCTGCATTTTTTTAAAATTTATTTCACTCCCTTAAGAAAAGAAAAATGAGAAAGCAAAGTTTAAAAATTAAAACAAAAAAAGCGCACAATAATTAATCTTAAAAACAAGATATGATATTTCAAAGGTGGATAAAGAGGCTAAAGTTAAGTAAAAGAACACGTGTTTAAATGACATCCCTTTTTAAGACAATGTTAATTACGCTTCTAAATTATTCTCTAGAGCATTAATACAAATAAAAAAATCATTAAAAATTGGTTATTTTTTTAAAAACTATTTAAAGTTATTAAAAATTACTTAAAGTAACAATTACTGTTTGTTTAATAACTAAAATTGCCTTTGAAATATTTTTAAAAACTTTAAATAGTTAACACAGTCCCCTATTCATTTAAAAAATTAAAAACTGGGGTATTTTTTTGTAAAAGGGGGGATTTCATATAAAAATATGTTCTTTTACTTAATTTCCTCCGGTTGAAGAATACAATCACGGAAAAAAAGAAGATTCACTCAAAATTTAACGTAACTGGTTTTGTAGTTAAATCAATGATACAAAATGATGATTGTTATGGTACTTGGTTAAAGGTTCCCGATTTTAAGGGTTAAAAAATATAAAAAAAAATTATTTTACAATCCTTAAAATAATAATTTTTGTAAAAAGCCAAAAAGGAGTGAATCAAATATTTGACAATGATAAATACACCTATGAAAAAAACGGGGACTAGCCGAGAAACCCCCAGATGGAGATGTAAAAACAAGGCATGTTCGGCACCTGGCATTTCAGATTACAAATATATTTTTAATCTTTATTTATACAGCGTCACATCTAGTCAAAATAGTCTTCCTGATATAAAGTTGGCTGTTCGTTATCGGTTATTAAAAAAATAAAAGGACAAAAAAAATATCAGGTCGGTTATACACCCCAGAAAGGTGTATAACCGACCTGATATTTTTTTTGTCCTTTTATTTTTTAACCCTTAATGGCAGAAGAAAGAGAGCATCTAGATGGGATTTTAATCGCTGGTCATTTCGAGCTTATTTCTATGACTTTTAGGTTAAAAATTTTACATATTCAGCAGTCTTGCCTTCATTGTGAGCAATTTATGAAATTAAAAGGATCAAAAAAAAGTTGATAAATTTGAATGGAGATATCTTTATTACAAGTGTCTTAAGTATCAGATGACACCCAGTTTAAGATATAATACGAACGTAGCAAATTTTTAAACCAAATTACACGTTATTTTGGTTGTAATTTATTATCTATCTATTGGATTTCAAAACTGTAAAATATTGCTTTTAACTAATATATCAAAAGGCACTTTAATAAATATCCGAAAATTGATTTATAGCAAAATAGAGCAACATTGTTTAGATAATCATATTAAATTAGGAGGCCCTTGTGTCATAGTACAAGTAGATGAAACAAAGATTAATTACAATGTAAAAAATCACAGTGGCAAGTCTGTCTCGCCTCATTGGGTATTCTGCGTTGTTAATACGTCAAATCGGCCGGCGTTGGGGTTTTGCTGCATTGTTTCTGATCGTTTCTCCAATACTTTAATTAATATAATTTCTAATGTAGTAGTACCCGGTAGTATTATTTGCTCAGGTGAATGGGCTGCTTATTCATTATTGGATAGGAATCAAAATTTTGAGGATAAAAATGTTTATCATAAATAAAATTTAACCAATCTAGCAGATGGAAATCATGCATAACATGTAGAATCATATAACAATCGATTAAAGTTAGGTATTAAGGCGATGAGGGGTCTCAACGTTGGAATAGTGAAAATTATTTTTGCTAGAATTTATGTTTAAAGAACGTCTTTCGTCAGAAAAAAATATGTCTTACATTAAATTATTTGTGTGTTAATCTTTTTTTTACGGGTTATATAATCAACCCGATCCAAATTTCCTTGGGCTACATACAATGACTGTTCTTTAAAAGTTTAGGACATGTTAAAACCAAAAGTACATATAGTGAAAACGATTCTAATAGAACAACAACCCTTCGAAATTACAGATTTTTTTATTTTACAAAGTTTCAATTTTTTATTTTGCTTAAATGTTAGTTAATGTGCACCACCGATAAAATATCATTTTTAATTTAAAAACCTCGTCAAAGGTTTAAGAACCCCCCCCCTTCTTTTTTTGTTACAATATAAAAAAAAAATCTTAGAATTGATCAAATTTTTTATACAAGCTAATTAAAGTTTCATTTGCTCTTTTAAGTGCATTATGAAGTGTCTATAGACTTTTTTAATTGAGAAAAGATAAGTAAAAACACTAAAAATAAAACTATCTCAAAAACTTTAAATATAAAGGTACCGTAAAAATTTCATATTCATACTTTTTTTATATTTTAAACACGATTTTATATGCCGCGGTTGTTGTTAATGTCAGGTAGAACCACCAATTTCATTAAAATATGCAAATATTTTTTTTCAAAATTGTATTTTTTATACCATAAAATGGGTAAAGTAAAAACACACAGTGATGTTAAGAAAGGCCAAATTTTTGGCTTTTAAGAAATAAAATTACTATTGCTACGATTACTTATTTAGACAAAAGAAGAAGACACGTGATGCAAAGTTTTTTAGAAAAAAAAAGCAATTATGGAAAAAGGGAAATACGGGGTAGACAGAAATCTCTTTCGCATGGGAAAATAAAGATGATACATACATTGTCTAACAACAAAGCTATTTCTTTTAAAAAAAATTAATGCACAAATAAATTCAGGCGTGTCGGACTCCACAATTCTTTGAGCGCTTCATCCAAATAAAAATTTAGTCTATAAAAAAATGAAACATTATTCATTGCTTAAAAAGAAATACAAGTATAGAAGATTTAAATCTGCGCTCATTGGGGTACTTTGGACTACTAAAAAGGGAAACAATTATTTATGTGGCCCAGATGGCTTTAAATATAGTCCATTGCATAATCTTACGACACCCCCATTTTTATCAAAACCTCTACGTACATTGCACCAAGATAGCAATTTGTTAAAGTTAATTTATTAAATTTTTTATTTCTTCCTGACTTTAATTGCTAGTTTATACCATTACTAAATACAATGTATTGTTTTTAAAAAATTAAAAATTTTTTAAAAAAATGGTGCATAATCTTACGACAGTTTAATTTAAATGATATTTAAAATTCAATGAACCACTATTGTTTTCAATCACCAGTTAAATTCGTTTTTTCATTATATCGATAAGCTTTTTACAGAAATCCGTGCTAATATAATACTAATTTTCAGAAATTGGGGTTTAAATTTGTTTAAACTATCATAGGTTTTACTTTCAAAATAAACCCGTCTAAAAAGCTCTCCCCAAAGATTTTCATTGAGATTAAGGTCAGGAGAATATGCTGGTCAAAACATTGTCTCGATATTTTTGCAAGCTAGCCCTTTTTTTAGATACTGAAACATGTGGTCTTGCGTTATCCTGCTGAAAAAGTATTTTATAAAAATTTTGTTCATATATAAATGGAAGGCAATAGTTATTCAATATATCTTAATATTTTAAACTATCCATACTTCATGAAATAAAAGCCAATTTTGATTTTTTAAAATAATTAAAACAGCCTCAAACCATGACTAAAGATCCTCCCGTGGCACCACGAGAATACACAACTTCTTTTGTTTTAATAACTACCCAACAATAGTTATAACCATCTAAACCATCAAGATTAAACTTTTTGTTTTCGAAAAAATTATTTCTTCTCATCTGGTCCCAAAATTTTGATATTCACCTGAAAATAATATTTTATTTATTTACTAGCTTGCGCTATCCCGTTTGAAACGGACTCAAATTCGATACGTGCTTTCTTTGTTTAAATTATGTGTATATGTCTTTGTGCATGTATGTACTGTTTATTATTGAACATTGCACACTTTTAATTATATAATGACAATGGCGCGTATTTTACAAGTTGAATAAGTGAATAAAACTAAAGGAAAAATATATTAGAAAAATTAAGCTTTATACAATATAATCAACTATGAAAGATTGTTATTTATTTAAAAAAAACGTTTTCCAAAATTTGAAAAAAGAAGGATTAAAAAATAAACATTCAGATTCAAACTTTTTATATATATAGAGTAACTTGCGCTATCCCGCCGAAAACGGGATCACAAATATTATGTGTATTCTTTCTTTTTGATAGATATGAGTGCCTTTATGTATGTATTTATTTTATAATTTTTAATTGCAAATTTCCCTTTTTATTATAAATTTAAATCTGCTATAAACCCCCATATACATTTAAAAAAATTTAATAAAAATGCCCGAAAACATTGTGCTGTGCTTAGAAAAATAAACCTTTGATGATGTGTGGCAAGAAACGCAGGAAGGCGACCAGAACTAAGAAAGTTCTTCACAATGCTCACTCCTGAAGCCAAACTAAATTGGTGTAACTTAAATTATTTATTAACTTCATGGGGAATTGTGCTCTTATGAGATCTCCTGTTGATCCTATGATTCTCTTGCTGTTGATGATTATGTGAGTTATTCATGACAGCGATGCCCTTCTTTTCATGAAATATTTTTATAGTAAAATTTCTTCAAGAAAATTCAGAAAATAGAAACATTTCATGTGGAATTAATACCACATGATGCTACTTGTTTTTAATACAAAAAGAGAAAGAATTTAACAAATTTTAAAAAAAGGGTTAAAAAATAAATGTTCAGATTCAAAATTTTAATATATTTTGATTAATTAAAATCCATATTTAATCCAAACAACTTATTTTATAAAAAAGCATAAAATTTTCCTTTTTTGATTTAATAAAAAATCAAAAGGAAAATGAAAAATTATGATTTTTAACAAATCTATGATAAATGTAAAAGTTAACAAAGTAATATAAAAATATTTATTAGCAGCAAAATTGATTTTTAAAAGAATAAATACGTGCATATGATACAAAGCATTTTATACTTTAAAAATAAATTTTATATAAATATTAAAAAATAAAAATGCCCATGAACAAATTAAATGTATTATTTGAGATATCTTATATTTATTCATCACAAATATTCCCAGTAGTTCTAAAAATACATAAAATGTATGATATTGATTTAAAAAGTAATTCACCAGCAAACTATGACTTTTTTATAAAAAACTATTATTCATCTAACGATAATATTTTAATTATAACGGAAGTCAAACTACCGCAGTCTGATATTTTTGTATTTCTTTGTATTCATTACAATCGGACAACTAATACTTACATTAAAAGTTTATATTGATTTTCAAAAGATTTTAAAAATACTGACAAGATATTTCACCAATTTCATTTTATTACACCCTTAAGGCAAAACAACATTCTTAATATACAAATTGCTTCAATGTTGTTTAATAATGCGTCACAGTCTCAGTATGGTATTGGAATCATAAAAGATTTTCAAAATGTTAGTAATATAGGTTTGAAAATACAAAATCGTTTTACAGAACTTGTATCGTTAAATAAGGGAAAAACAAATTCATTGTCCTGTCAACTTCTTAACAGATTAACAAATAAACCTGCATCAAGAATTATGCATGCTTTAGAAAACGAAGATTACATTTTAGCATTTTTTGACAGAGATTATAGTAAGATTATTAATTTTCTAGAAAAATTTATTTTGATATTACAAGATATTAATGAACTGTTACAATATAGGTTATCTATATTTTTTACAAGTTTTATGGAAAACAATTTAAATACCTTTTGGAAAATTGAACTTATGCATTCCAATGAGGATTTTAGTAATTTTAAAAATATTCATTTATCGAACTGCTTTTTTAAAGATCTATATAACTTATTTTGTCTAGTTGAGAATGAAAATCACAAATTTAAACTTTTTGATTATGATCAATACATCGGAGCACTTTTTGGTTATCCATTAATTGCCGTTTTATTTAACTTTCAAGAAGATATTGATGAA